GATTTTCCTACAGAGGGCTATATGTGTGACTTCATCCCTGAGCAGCTGCTTTGTGAGTGGTTGTTCTGCGCTCACAGACGGGACAGACTGTGTGCATCAGCGCCTATTGATGTTTAAAAGATGCACAACTGCAACTTTTCAGACGAACGGCAAAAAAAAATTCCTTCATAGCCTCGTATTTTTCTTATACAGATGGGGCCTTATTTCTGTACCATTATTTAATTCTATTTTTTTATTTCACCATTCATTAACCGCACAGAGAAGGCATAGTTTAAATATGTTAAAATTTTCTTTAAGCAAACAGTATCATTAAAGTTCTTCATGACCTCTTTTTTGGAAATCAAAATATGGTCACCCTAGTAAGGACAAAACATTACATGCAATTAAAGTTTGTTAAAGACAGCATTTTGAGTACTTAGTCATTAGCTACTGCTAGCATACTTGGTTAGCAGACAGTTAGCATAAAGCTAGCAGCAAGAAAACATGTTAATTTCCACTATAAATTTGGACATTTTAACCCAGGAGTCTATGGGGTGGCATTTGGAGTCAACATCCTGAATGAAAAACACACCTGAGTTTATAAAGCTTTTTAAATCAGAGACAAAAAACACAATAAATTTACTCATAACTGCTAAAGCCAGCATGGCAGTGCATAGTTAACAGATGCAGCCAAAACACAAAAATGTACATTTTTTTTCAGGTTTTAGAGAGTGAGTGTTAGGTTGGCATGTAAATAATGCACATGCTTCGATCAACGCTTATTGCTTATAACGTCTGTCAGATGTTATAAGTAATATAGTGTTATAAGTCCGGTTGTTATCAAGTGATGCATGGTGGGCTTAGCTTTAAACTGAGCCCAGAAGGCTTGATGTATGCATGGTTTCAAGCACAAAAGGATTCTAAGTCCTCTCTGCAAGAGAGAAACAGAGGGGGGAAAAGAAAATTGTGTCTCTGGTGATGCTGCTGCAGTAATCTGATCTGTAGACATGTGATGGTCAAACACCAGCCAAAACTGCATTTGCAAATGGTTTAATAGCTGCTACAGTCTTTTTTGTTAAAAGCGGATGTTTTACCTCAGACAACATCAAGCAAGTTGTCATTCTAAGGAAAAGACACACTAATTGGTCTCAACTATGTCTTGCTGTATTGTGCCGGGAGTTGAGCATTTACTACTTCCTGAAGCTGTGAGATGACTCCTGCATGAACTTAGACCAGTTAATGTAACTGGTGACGTGAAAAACCAAGTGCTGAAAATCAAGTGTGTGTTCCTGAGACGCCAAAGGTCTGAAAATGGAAGATTTATAAAGATCTGATTTTGATTGATTTGATGAACGTGGTTTAGCTGCTCATCACGTCTATGTTATGGGGTGTAGAGACTGGATATAAGCACGTGCGCTTGTGTATGTGTTGGATATTTAAGCGACTGTAGAGCAAACTGTTTGTGCCACAGTGTTGTTCATAAACCACAGCCTTTCACTTGTGGTTGTGGACTGCATTTTGCTTTCCCTCTCCTCTGTCTTCCTTTGCCTCTTTTCTTCACTCCGGCTCTCTCTCACACACACACACACCGCACAGCTGGACAAGTTTTTTTTTCTTCTTCCCCCCCTCAGCTGTTGGCTCAGCCCTTAGGATTGTGTGTAAATGGAATATGTAGCCTGCAATAGCCCAGTATGACATAATTCCTCTCTGAAGGCAGCACTGCACGTAATTGGGCCCTCACATGTGTGCATCCATCAGAAGTACTTGAGAAGCTGATGACTTTTTTTAAACTTTAAAAACGTTAAAGACTTTGAATGAGCAAAAATCTAGCCTGACTCATCGGATGCTGACTGTCGGCATGACCACCAAGCATTTCTCTGTGCCAGCTCTGCTTACAGAAACGGCACAATCTGTCACGGCAAACGACATATTCCGAGAGGCAGCGTTACAACTGGACCATCAGAGGAGCACGTGAATGCAGGGTTGCTATTTTGCAGTTGTGCCATCACTGAATTCTGGGCTTATGTAAGACTAGGGTAAATGGAGCAAAGGAATAACAAGTAACCATTATTCATATCGAGTATGTGTCAAAGCTGCGCACCAACTGAAGTTGACTTCGTCGTGGGTGAGCGTCATCAAAGTTGTGTTATTTCTGTCAGAGGCCCCTAGAATTAGTGGGCTGTCGTAGCCGGATTTACGTCGGTTGACTTTCTGTGATGTCTTATTTTGGAAAACAGATGTAGTTCTTT